AGCAGCAGCAGCAGCAGCAGCAGCAGCAGCAGCAGCCGTTGTCCCTCTTATCCCATCTATGCGAAGAAGCAGCAGCAGCATCATTCTCTGCTGCAGAGGAGCAGCAGCTGCTGCTGGAGTTCGAGGAGGCTATAGGCTGTCGTACATCAGCAGCAGCAGCAGCAGCACCAGCAGCAGCGCAACCAAGAACAGCAGCAGCAGCAGCAGCAGCAGTAGCTGCTGCAGCAGCAGAAGAAACGGAATTATCTTCAACTGTAGTAGCCCTTTCTGCTGCTGCTGCTGCGCAGCAGCAGCAGCAGCAGCAGCAGAGCAGTGCCTCTTCACAGAGTGCTCCAGCAGCAGCAACAGCGACACGAGCAGCAGCAGCAGCAGCAGCAGCAACAACAACGACAGGAGCAGCAGCAGCAGCAACAGGAGCTGCTGCGGATGCTACACAGCTGCTGCAGAAGATGAGAGAGGGTCTGTCTGTGCTGCAGCAGCAGCAGCTGCAGCAGCTGATTGAGGAGGAGGAGCAGCTGCTGCAGCTAGAGAAGCAAAAGATGGCGATCCTCGCGGAGCTTGAAGACGACTCCAGCACATACTGCAGCAGCAGCAGCAGCAGCAGCAGCTACAGCAGCAGCAGCAGCAGCAGCAGCTACAGCAGCAGCAGCAGCAGCAGCAGCAGCAGCAGCAGCAGCAGCAGCAGCAGCAACCTCATGAGTTCGAAGACAGGCGGAGCAGCATATGATGACCTTCATATTGTCTTTACGTCGGCCCTAAACCCTAAACCCTAAACCCTAAACCCTTATTCTTAAATATGTTGTAGCTGCATCACTGGCTGTAGAAGGTTTCTCTGTTGCAGGGGTTTAGGGTTAGGGGTTTGGCAGTAAGGGTTTTGATTAGGGTTTAGGGTTTAGGGTTTAGGGTTTACGGTGTGGTGTTGCTGCTGCGATCTGCAGAGCCAACAGCGCCCAAGCGGCACCCGCCCTAGCAGCAGCTGCACTGCAGCAGCTGCAGCAGCAGCAGCAGCAGCAGCAGCAGCAGCAAGTGTATGGAGTGCAGCATTTGACGCTGTCTGCTGCTGCCTTCTTCAGTCTGTCGGTGGCTCTGCAGCGGACGGAGGCGCAGCGCCAGCAGCAGCAGCAGCAGCAGCAGCAGCAGCAGGAGCAGCAGGGAGGGGGAGACGTTGCTGCTGCGCTGCAGCGTGTGTCTGTATCTGAGCAGACGCTTGAGGATTCTTTGCTGCTGCTGCGAGCAGCAGCAGCAGCAAACCCTCGTGATGCTGGGGCGTTGATGATGCTAGCTGCTGTTGCTCTGTTCTATAGAGATTATAGAGAAGCAGAGAAGAGGTTTCAGCAGCTGCTGCTGGCGCTGCAGCCGCTGCTGGCCCTCAGCAGCAGCAGCAGCAGCAGCAGCAGCAGCAGC